AAGCTTGCACTGTTTTATTTCAGTTTTGCTTCATTTCTTCCCAAACAATCTCTCACTGCTAATCTACCAGGTCTTTTTTTTCCTCCTCTTTGAGCATGAAGGAAAAAAAAAATCAAAGACATTATTAACTCCTTATGCTCAATCATAAAACCTGAATATATATGATTTGGCATCAATTTACATAGATGTAGAAATTTTTCATTATTTATTAATGGGGCATGACTAGTGAATATATGTATTTTCATAAATAATTCTTGAAAATAGCATTAAAATGCTAAAATATTTAACTTCTGTAATAAATCTAGCACTATTTTTAAGGTACATAAATCTAGCTATAATTTCATGTAAATATCTTATGTTAAAGGTTTTTCTAAAGTTCAACATAGCTTATAATATCAATCTGAAAAAGTAAAATTGAAGGATAAATTTTACCTTATTCTAAGGTACCTGGGAATCAAGAAAATGATACTGAAATCATAACATTACAGGGGAATGCATATATGTGTATAAAACAAATAAATAATCTTTCAATATTAGATTAGCATTGCTTTATTCAGAATAATATGTAATCCCCTTGTTTAACTATATGCTCTCTCATTTATTAGTTCAGGGGGAAAAAAGTAAATCATTTTAGAAAGGTGAACATAATTTTTAATGGCAACACTGTGCAAAAACTGTTCCCAAGAATTTTAACTAATGTATGGTAATGAGAACCACAGAGCCTTACTGGTTGAGAAGAATCAAAATTTATGCTCTCAAAGAAGGCTGCAGAGTTATCTTCCTTACTTGCAAAATATGAGAAGCATTAAAATCAACTTTCTCCATAATTATCCCAGGAAAAACAATGTGACTGAACTCAGAGTTTTTTCTATGTATGAATAGATGCAAAATATTCATTAATTACAAAAAGCAAGTAAAGATCACTATATGCATTAATAGTTATTATAAATATGCATTAATTTAAGTAGCCTAGATATCTGGATGTTCCACTCATCATCAAAACAGAAGAAACGAACACATAAACAAAGTGGTTCAGTTCTTTAAGTAGAGCAAAAATGTGTTCTTGCTAATATAGCCCAATGTATCAGGACCAGGAGAATATGGCATTCTTCAGTTTTCTAGTTTACGTATCACCACGAACAGCAACCTAGGTGACACAGTAAATGAGAAATCACTGCGGCTCCACTGGGGTATAGACACCTCAATGGCTCAAACAGCTGAATGTCTATGAGACGTTAATGAGCAGCTGCAACGTGTGTCTGGTATTATCCTACACATTCCGTAACAAACCTCAAAGTAGGAAGTTAATAGTCCACTCATAATTTGTGGTCAATATCATTTTTATTGTTACAAAATTAAGAAACCATTGTGGCCAGTGGTCCCTAAGGTCCTATTTGGCAGTGATGGGTTTGCATTGAGACCTTTGCCTCTGGGGAACGGGGTGTGCTAAGCATGAAGTTCATCCTTGCCAAAAAAAAAAAAAAAGTATCAGAGATGACAGGGTGCGGGGGAGGGCTTGGAAGGGCACTTGCCCCTAAGCAAATGACACAAGAACTTTTAAGTCTCTTCTGCAAAAGGCAAAGTTTCTTCCCTTAGGCTTTCATTCATTGATACACAGATAAGACTGATGGATTGCTGTCCTGTTAGTAATAATGTTGGGGAGAGTGGGTGGAGGGGATGTCATGTAGCAATACACAATGATAATTCAAAACTCTGCAGGGCTTAAAGGCAAAATCACATCTTCACTCATCAAATCTTTCTGTGGGCAGTTATTGAGTACAGGATGATAGTAGTTGTATGGGAGGAGAGATGGATCTATAGAACCAAGACAAAGGACAGGTGAAGAAATGGCAGATAAATTGTCAAAGTTAACTCAAACCCAAAAGAATGAAAACTTCTGAGACTGTAAAACTCATATATCAATAAGTACTTCAAAAAGCAATCTGGCAAATTAAAATCACCAAGGCACACTTATTAAGCTATGTAGCACCCTACAGGCATGGTCTCTGGTTCCTTGCAGCCCCAAGTCTACTGCTTTCTTAAGCATAAGGCACTTTAATAAGATCCCCTATGCAATTTCTCCACATGTCTTCATTTTCTGCAGCCAGTCGCAGGTCAATTTAGTTCCCATGCAAAGCATGTTCCCATAGATGCCAAGACAGTGTCAATTCACAGCCCACCAAAGTCCATATTTACAATTCATCAAACTATTTCAATAACTATACACAAATGTACTGACTTTAATTTAAATGATGTAATCAGTGATACACATTTCACCTAAAGTCTCTCAAATTCAAGCAGTTTCTAGTGTTAGTCACAATAAACCTCAGGTAACAGTTCAAACCCAGGTGGCAGGGCACTTCTTGTTCAGGAGGATGGATGGCACTTACCTTAGATCCTCAGGGTTCTTTATCTCATCTAAAGGCTCATGAATCTGATACACTTACAGATAACAACAGTGTCAGTGAATCTTCTGTTAGTTAGGCTGGGGTGAGTGTGCTGTATCATCAACTCAGCATTCCAACATTCATTCAGAACCTATATTGTACTTAGAACTATCTAGGTAATACAAAATAAACTCTCTTTGTCTCTATGTATTTTATTTAATCCACATAACTTCTTGGGTTACATAGGGGAAAACCCACATGGTCATACCATCAGAAGAGAACAACCCTTGGTGTCAGCATATATACATTTTATTCTTCATGTATTATTCTGTAACATGACAATAGATTGTTACACATATTTAAATATAATATGAAGAGAGCAATTAAATTAAAATATGATAATCTCGGCTTCAAGTTTATTTTTGCCACAGGTTTAAAATAAATAAAACCTTTGCTGTGATATAAGACCTACCATTATGATTTTATGGTAAAATTTAATTGTTTTAGATTTAAATATTTAAGGTTAGTAGATGTGCTAAAACTGAAAATGAAAATGTGGACAATATAGTGAGAGCGATGGGTCCCAAGGCCACCTTAGACTTTAAACAACAAACAAACAACAAAAAACCATAAATTCTGTGAAGCATGATACTCTGGAAATGTTTAAAGCAGAGTTTTAGTGGTTTTATTCAAACCACTAATAATCAAATAATCACATTATCAAAGTATCACCTATAAATAGTGTTTTTTTTAAATCCTTGTCTACTATTACTACTTTTCTAAATTAAATATTAAATTTTATTAAATTTAGATTAAAATATTAAAAAAAGTTTTGGAAATTAATAAAGAAAATGGTAGAAACCTATATGTACTGGCAAAGATATTTCATAAAGGAATAGAAATATGAATATTTAAAATAATTTATATAAAGATAATGATTAAAATTCATAATATAATTATAACACATACTTAAGAGATCTCCCCCTTAACTTCAGTTGTACACAATAAATGATTCTACTGTTAGTAAATGAATAAATTATCACTTTCAAACCTCAGTTTGCATTTTATCATTGATTTTTGGCTGTATCTTAAACAATAACTACATTTCCCAAACAGTTACTTAAAATATTCCATAGACCTGAGTACAGACAATCAAAAAGGAAATTTCTGTTAATATTACAATATGAATGTAATAAATAAAATTAAGCATTGATTTTGTATGTTCTGATTTGACTCACGAACTCTCATGAATTACTAGCAGGCTGTGGGCATATATTTTATGTCCAGGAATCTATGTGTTAATGCATGTAGCCCACACCATGCCATGTTCCCAACATACCTACCAATCTGCTAAAATCATTAAAGATATAAGTTTTCATATCATTTCAAGTGGTGATACACTTGATTGTACTTAAAAATTATACCAGATGACATCATCATACTTGTATAAATACTTCTGAATTACTATTATAAGTAGAATGTGATAAAACATATGAGAGTTTTCATTATTTCTGTTGTGCTACAACAAATTGATACAAATGTTGGAAATAATACATAAAAGACACAGCAATCCTGATACAACTAAAAATACAACAATTATAACCAGACAAAATAGATTTCTTAAATGCCAGTGAGAAAGTCAAAACATTTTTTGGTGGGGGGCAAGCACAAAAGGTCATAAATATTATTCAATCAGAGTAAACATTACAATAAGTAGGAAGACTGAGCTAACTACTTTTTGAAATATATTTTATATAAAACATTGATTTGAAAAGGATTCATATTTAATAAGTTTACCTTTCTCCAGAAAAAGATAAAAAGAAGTATGTTATATATACAATTTGTAAACAACTAAAGGACTGAATTTTGGTGGGTTCAGGAAAGCATGATGCCACCTTACTGGAGTGGAAAAAGGAAAACATTATGTAAGAGCATGGACTTTTAGGCAATACAGACATGAATTTTATTAAAATGGCACTAATATCAGATAATGTGGGCTTTCTAGCTCTGCAATGTATTAATTTCAAAAATATATATATGAATTTAAAATAGGAATCATCAGAGTACTATGTAAGCTTGAAATTTTACACCTTTAAAGATGGAGTAACATTTAGCAAAATGCAGAAGACTATTATTGTATAAGAAATGGTCACAAAAATGCTAGAAAACAAATCATTTTTATGATTTAATATGACCATACTTAACATTAATTCAGGAAGACTTTCTGTAATCCAAAATTAGATGGTGATGCCAGTGAGAAGTGTAATAAATACACTGATTACCTTGATTTGTTCCAGAGAAAATTCTGTCTACCCTGTGTGCCTATGTGATTTCACATCAACAAGGAAATACCCGGTAGTTAGTTTGGTGGGGACAGGTTTGTTACAATCTTCTAAATCTTGTACAAAACATATTTTATTTATTAATTGATGAGGTGCTTAACACGGCTAATGACCTACAGTGATGAAATTCAAGTAGCAATAACTAGAGTGACATTTACAAAAAAAAATAATCAAACTAGAGAAAGTCTTTTGTTTTGCCTGATTCTCCTGTTTAACGGGAAAGAAAAGTAAACAACTGACTGAAGTAAGCAGATGGCTGAGTGGTACTTACCGGCATGACAATGTTGTAGTGGATGCAGAACCCCGGTTCAGAAGGGAAATATTCATCAGATACAAATCTTATCCTGATCTGATTTCCTTTAGAAATCTGTTTTCCTGGTACAGTCCCAGAACCACACCAGCGCCCTAATACTGTTCCATCACTGGGGTCCTCAACTTCTACAAAATCATACCTGCAAAGAGAAAAAGAGAAGAGACATAAGGTCCTAATTTGTCCATTTGACAATTCAAGTTCCACTTCTGAGGTGCAGTAAATCTATGGACCATGGCTATGAGTTTATCTCAGATTTAACTGGTAAATTTAATCAAATATTCCAAAATAAGAGACATACTAAAAATGCATCCCAAATAAAGAAATACGAGTCTTTTATCCTAAGGCCTCTCATTTTACTGTTGATGAACTTCAAATCCACTGAAGAGCCATCTCCAAACTTAAATATTTTGTACGAAGCAACCATCTCTGACATTGAATTCATGAATTATTCAATTTAATTTCCATTTGGACGTGACAGCCTTGCTCCACTCTGAATTCCTATTATTACTGTCCATTACTTTCTGACAGTGGCTCTTTCATCCTGGTCAGGCTCCTTGGCTCCCTCTGCTCATCTGTGATGCAATGAGATCCACACTTCTCCAGAGCCACTTCATCACAGACACATCTTTCGAATCTCACTTTGTACTGCACTGATGAGACCTGTACTGTCCGTGAGACCTTTCTGGGTGTTCTCGGCTTACCATCATCTTTCTGTTTTTGATAGAAACATTTTCAATTTTAAATATCGATCCATCGTCTTACTGAAGCTGTTAAATCCTTGAAGAAAGGAATCAGTTCTTACATGCTTTTATTCTACATTGCATTACATACAAAATCTTACACATAAGAAATCATGATCATTTTTTGTAAAACTCTAACTTTGGTGTGGGAGGTTTAGAGAAGTGGTAGTCATCAAGAGCAGTACTGCCCCAGTAGAGAATGTTTCAGAAGTTTGCCCCGGCACTTTAGGTTGTCTCAATGACTGGGGTGAGGAGGGCACATGAAATATAGTGGGCGAGGTCCACGGATGTTCCACAACAGGAAGTCCCAGAAGTGAGTATTTGCCCCACGCCCTCCAAGCTTGACAAGGAGTCACTGGACATTTGTGTAGATGATATTTCTGCTATTGTTCATCTGAGTCTCGAACCCGATGTTGCCTTACATGCGAACACAAATATGTATTGCAGTGTAAACTTTACTTTAAGCCAACTTTCCAGAAATTCAAATGAATAGAAGAAAGTTTCAATACTTTGGAACTTCACCAAGAGTTACTCACTATTTTGGAAAAAAACATATCAGTAACAGGTACACTGCTTATACTATTTGCATCATAATTAAAGCAATTACATATACTCATATTCGTCTACATTAATAGCTGTCATTACCACAATGATTCTACATAAAAGGTGCAAATATATGACTACTTCCTTTTATTTTTCTAGTGTAACTATGCATGGGTATTTATGTATTTAAATACTTTATTTTAACATAAGTTACTTTGTTATTATATCAGTTTATATAGTATGTAAGCCACTATTTTTATCTTTAAAATGACTGCACACATAAATAGATGATTACTTATATTAATTATATTTCAGAATACTAAATAGAACATTGCAAAACTTTTGTTAAAGAACAAGTCTGACAAGGTTGGAAAACTATCAGTGGATTTTTTTAAAAGACTAAATTCAGTAGCTACCATATAACTAAAGCATATATTTTTTGTGCATTATTGAATTTACAGAAAAAAAAATTGTTGAAAAAGGACAATGTATATAATGAGTCAATTATGCTTATAAATCATTGTCCTAGAGAAATATCCAGATTTCTCTTGCGGCATGTAACTTCACCTTTTTCCACCTATTTTTCCTTATCCTTAAGTTGAGGATAACTCACAGGGATACTTTAAGAAAGGAAAATGGGACAGTACATGTGCGATGCCTGAAGCACTACTGGCACTCAGTTGCTACTCAATAAAGTTTGTTCCTCACCTCTATGCTGCACTGCTACCTCCCCCCATATACCTGTTCATATAGCCTTGGGAGTTTGAAAGCAATAAATAAGAAAACTTAAATACAAAGGAAAGAGGTTGTTTCTGCTGGATCATGTGACAAGTCTGGTGTTATAAATTACAAGTGCATCAGCCAGCCCATATAACCATTGCAGGAATTTTGGTGTGTGTGTGTGGTGGGACCAGAGAGGGATGAGGTCAGAGGTAAGGGAGTTGGGTAGAATAGACATAAGTAGTTATTTTAGATATACCTGTTATAGAAGTTGATAACTACCACTTTAAACCAAAGGGTAATTTTTTATATCAAGATTGTTTACTTGTGAAACAAAGCCTCTATTCATAAGAGTATCCGTTTGTTCTGTGCCTATCTGATGTAGGTTACCACCACAGCAAAGTTTGCAGAGAGCCAGCTTTCAGGCCTGGTCAATCATTCTATAAGGATTTACAAGGGACTGACTTGGTGTAAAGTGTTATGCTCAATTCTCAGGATACAAAGATAAAAGTATACCTTCTTTAAGCTCATGGTCCATAAAACATTTTGGTGCGTGCTCTAATAAGCAAATATAGGGAATACTGTGGAATCCTGGCAGAGTGAGAGTAATTCTATACAGTGAGATTAGGGTCAGCTTACCAGGAGACATTTGGGCTGTCAATGAATTGTGATTGACCAGTGGTGAAAAGCGGGGAAATGGAAATGCGTTCTAGCGAGAGGTACAATACAAAAGATGTAATAGAAGAATGAGGGGGCCAGGCGTGGTCAACTGTGAAGAGAGGATGAAAAACAAAGAAGGAGACAGAGGTCAAGCTGGAAAAATGGGTGTAGGTGAGAAGGTATGTCTGAGTCAGATGTTTGAATATTATTTTGTAGGTCAATATGGCAAACAGGTAAGCACAGTTTTAACAGGAAGTATTTTTTTAATTAAGTCAACATTTTTTAAAAAGTGAACTTTCACTGAAAAATCTGGGTATCCAGCTTTTTTTTTAATTTAAAAATATGATAATAGTTAATATCATTAGCCCTTGTGTGACCACGAGGGCTCAGATCTCCAGAAGTGGTGTCAGCTCCAGGAGAGGGGGCAACTTTGTGTAACTTATGGTATTATCCCCAGCACTTGTGGGCCAGGCACATAGTAAATATTGAGTCAGTGCTTGGTTAATGAAGAAGTGAACACTGACCCTTCCTTCCTTCATACCAACTGAGGCAGAAACCAAGGGGAAATAGCTTTCAATGGCACATGCTCTTTCTAGTTTCTAAAAATCCCCATCTACTTTCTACACTGTTAAAAAAAAAGTTCCCAGGTCTTCATTTATTTACCTTAATGGCCCATGCAGACGTCTAAGTTTGTCACCCTGGCAGCATATGAGGCACAGCTGGGAAGTTTCAATAGGGGAGGAACACAGAGCCATCACATACCTGAGGAATGCCCGGAAGCAACATTTCAAGAGTGGGTAGAAAGGAAAGGCCCTTTACAAAAACATCCGGAAAAGGAGCAGCAGGGAAACAAGAGGAAAGCCACTGTGAAGGGTGGCCCAGGACGAAGGGAGCCTGCCTACTGTGAGCAGAGCTGGGCAATGAAGGAAGACCAAAAATTGGGCCTTTATGAAGTCATGTGCCAAAAACTGCTTGGGCAAGACGCATAGAGCCAAAATGTTTCCTCACACCACTTTCAAAATAACCATTAAAATTGTTCTAATAGAAGCTTTAAAAAAAGTATACCATATGCAACAAATGAAAAACTAACAATTCCCATAATCATTTATTTTACTATTGTAAATTAAAAAGGAGTTTTTGACCATACATGGAAACATCAGGATTGTAAATGTTAAGAATTCATTAAGGAACAAATATATCTTACAGTTGGTCTTATCTAACTTATATCTCCTGATATAAAAACCACTGTCATGCAAATCAGAGAATGACAGGTAGATTGTCACTCTTTCATGGAGGCTTCTACTAAATTTGATGCTGTTAAAAAAAAGCTAATCTTTATAACAATTTCTGGATTTGCAGGTAGACAGCTGGCAATTAATTCTACATGCTCCTGCAAGTCTGGCACATACATTTATCAGAGTACTTTAAAAACTATATAGTTTTTCATTCCATGAAGGTTAAATGAAATGAACCTCTAAAAAGTGCTATGTTCTCTGCTTATAAAACAGTAGAACCTAACATGTACCACTATTTGTTTTATGGTAAATTAGGCATCTTAAGATTTTTTTCCTCAGAAGTGGTATCATGTAACACCCAGTTCCTCTACCATCAATTTTTATGGTTACGCTCAGTAACTGTTTAGATGTCTATGGAATTGAAAATTATTAATCATATCATTATTTACTAAGCTTAGTTTTCCTTCTTAATCAGAACAGTAAATCTTCTTGCTAAAGAATATGGTTACAAAAATAGCACTTCTTTTACTTAAATTTTATTCCAGATCATGTATGATGGACCAAGTGAAGATCTACCTGGAAAGTATTTGCAGGTCTAATTGTTGCTATTGTGTCTTCAAAATACAAAAGAACAAAACAAAAACCATTGCCAGTTGATAATATATTTCTTTTTAACTTGTTTGAGAATATACTGTGGTTGGAAAAAGGCTAATGCATTAAATCCAGTCACCTTCCCTAAAAATTTAAAATTTTCGGGGGGTTTTGTGATAGAATACCACTTGCAGAATGTGGGATTCAATACAGAAGTTAGATGGTTGATATACTATAACATAGTCCAAATCATCAAGAAGGAAATGGGCAGAAAACAATGACAAAAGATTATTCTATAGGCTTTAGCCAAATGAAAGGGAGATGATAAAACCATATGACACAGAAGAAGCGAAATCACAAAACATAATCATCCTTAAACGCAGAAATCTGCACATTCCCAGATGACTGTTCTGGAGACAGAGTAATCTCAAAATACACTCTTAGGTATTAATTTCCAACATGCACAATTGCTCACATCAGTATTTAAAGGATTTACGAAACTTATTTTACGAGCCAATCAAACATCACTTTCTCACGGCAACATGATACACAGCACACAGCACTAAGTGGTTTATAATGATCACTCCCTTTCTCTAACATACCCCTGGGGACCCAGGAGGATTTATGTTCTTTTATGTTTAACAAACAAG